CAGAAATTAAGCGACTTGCCCAGGGTCATACAGCTAGTAGGCTGCATTTAAACCCAGGTCTTCCTGACTTCAGGCCCAGTACTCTCTCTACTCACCACCTAACTGCTCCTCATTTGGCAAATAAATCAGATTTTTTTCAAACCAAAGTACCTGTTGGGTTCCTCTGGTCTCCTTGCTGTGGCAAAAGCATCTGATTGTAAAGAAACAGCTGATTCAGGGAGAATTCCCATATCAGTAACAAGTCTTTTCCTGTTAGTTAAAATCTAATCTATTTTTTCTTCTCTCTCTCTCTTTCTCTCTCTCTCTTTTTATTTGCTATGTTATTTAATGCTTGTCATCTCCAGGGCCTACAATTCTTTATTCAAAGTGCTCATAACAAAGTTGCGAGCCATTTATGGCTTCTTCTTTGGCCTCTTTCATTCCTTCTTCATGAACTATGCTTTCCCATATATTTCTCCTCCTCATCATCTTTGCATCAAGTATCAGAGTATATGCTGATTTAATTTGAAGAATTCTATCAGGCTTTTCATAGGACTTCTTTACCAATACATCCTCAGCAAACAATGTTGGTGCAAAAAATACATTTTTTTCTCATGATGGATTTTTTTTAATACATAGCCATCTTTAGCACTGAAATATATGGTGACTAAATATCCAATGAAATAATGCTTCCTGTTCTCTTTGAATATGTGATAAAACCCAGTCTTGGCAGTGCCCAGACTTGGGGTTTTCTTGGCAGAGATACCACAGTAGTTTGCCATTTCCTTCTCCAGTTCATTTTACAGATGAGGAAATTTAGACAAACAGGGTTAAGTGACTTACTCAGAGTCACACATCTAGTAAGGGCCTGAGGTTAGATTTGAATTCAGGTCTTTCTGACTCCAAGCTTGGATACATCATGCCACCTAGCTACTCCTTTCTTCACCTCAAGGAGTACCTATAAGTCATCCTTCCATTTAGCTGCAACTCTCTGCTTTCTTCTGAATTTGTTTATGGCAACGTTGTCAAAAAATGACATTATTTGGTTTCTTCAGCAATATGTGCATTCGTTGGTCATTGACAAAGATCTTGCAAAGCTATACTCCTATAACATGGAACGACAAGTATAAATTCTGGCAGGTTCTATCTACCACGTTGAAAAAATGTAGAATATTATCCTGGCAACAGACGGAGTCTGCTTCCCAAGGACCAGCCTGTCTTGGTAAGGAGAGGCACATCATCAGTGCGCAGGTCACTTGATGATGCATTTTTTAGCTCTGGCAACCCAAAAATCAAAGAAAAATACAAAAATGGCCCTCAGTCCTATGTGGCCCCTTTCCACCTTTAAGTGAAAGTTGTAGATTGGGGAGAAAGGGGTCAGAAGATGCTAAGAATTCATTTTTAGGCCATCTATAATCCTTAAACCATAATGAAATATATTTAATAAAAACTGTTGCTCTGAAGACAGGACACCCAATTTAAAGTGCATGCACATTTGATGCTCACCTCAATGGGCCAGAAACAGATGGAGTGTTGTGCTTTGCACATTATTTTGAAGCTTCTCAATTTGCCTGATGGGATTTCTATCACCTGCACCAGCTGTGCGGGTGACCTCCTTGACTTAAGCTTGCCAGGAGCAGAATATATGAGGCAGCACCAAACATGATTTTAAAATACAGTATATGCAAATGTGGCTGTAATTGACATATTTACTTTAATGCCTTTAAAAACAACAGGAACCTGTACTCTACTTTAACTCATCATTGCACAGTTGTCAAAATTGGTTCAAAATCTTTGCAAAGGGGTCATTTTGTACCTTGCCTCCAAAGAAAGAGATTGAAAAGTTTTCTTAATCCGGGGAAAGAAATCATGCTTTATTATATAGGGAATAGTAATGACCTTGCTGCTTCATGGAAGTCGCCAGTTTAAAAGGCCCTCAGAAATACAAATAAGTTATGATGAGAAAAGCACTGGATTTGGAGTTGGAGGACCTGAGTTTGAATTCCAGCTTTGCCAGTCTGGCCCATGTGCCTTTGGGCAAGTCATCTGACCTCTCTGAAATCCAGTTAAAAATCTCTAAGGTCCCTGACAACTCTGAACCCTATGAGCCTATATATTCTTTCTGGGACTCCATAAATCCAATAAATATCATCTGACCCTAGATCTGCTAAATGTGGAATTTAAAGTGAATAGGAAGTGGTTAAAGGACAAGAAGATGAATATTTGGCGAGAAGAAGAGTGAATTCAAGAATCCACCTTGAAAAATAGAGGGACAAGTTTTTAAGAGGATTAATCTTCGGATCAAAAAGAAATGACTGACATTTAAAGCCCTTCACAACTGGGCCCTTCCAGACTTATTACACACTACTCCCCTTCACATACACTACTGTGAAGATACTGGCCTTCTTATGATTCTTCATACCTAACCATCAACCTGGTTTAACCTGTGGGCTGAGACAGTTTTATGAGGGTGTGGTTGCTGGGCACGCTGTATTTTCTTGGAGCCACAGGTGAGAGTTGGGTGAAGGTGGACACCAAAGGTACATATGCAGCCCTGAAAAGGGCTTGGCAAGCCCTCACACCAGAGGTGCTAGTCCTCCTAGAACACCCCATAAACCCCACAAGGAATCTACTCCTCAAACCCATTGGTAAGTTAGGGGAATGTCTACCCAATGCATGTGAGGACTTCCCCTGTGGAATGGGGGGATGAGAATAATTTGGTTCAATAGCCACAAAGGCATCTGAAGCAGACACTGCAGAGTGCTTAGAGCTTGGTCAGACATTGGAGATGCCAAGGTCATCCGCTGCATCCCTGCCCATTGCCAGTTTTCCTGACTTTGGTCTTGCCACTGGACTCTGATGACTCTGGAAGAGAGAGTGAGGCTGATGATTTGTGAAACTGACTCATTTAAATCCAATTCATGCACAAGGCAAGACATCACCTGTGATGTCACTGGTCCTCTTCAAAAACAAAGTACCAACAACAACAATAACATAACATCTCTGTGTCTTTGCCTTGGCTGGTCCCCATACCCCATGCATGCCCTCTTCACCTCTGCCTCTTAGAATCCTGTTTCTTTCAAGGGTTACCTCAAGTACCACCTTCTACATTAAGCCTTTCCTGTTTCCACAGCTGCCAATGCCCTCCCCTAACACACACAAATTATCTTCTATCTACCTTGCATATATTTTGTTCATGTTTATGTATGTACATGTTTGTCTCAGCTAGATTGTAAGCTCCTTAAGGTCAGGAACTGTATTGCTTTTGTCACTGTAACACCAGAGCCTAGCACAGTGCCTGTCACATGCTAGATAAATGTTTGTTGATTGATTAATTAAAGGAATGCAGTCAGGGATTTAGATGGCTCCAAAGAAAGATTATTTCCAGTCCTCTATACTAGAAGGACATCCACAGTTGGTTTTTACCACTTCTGTAACTTGGGGCATTTTCTCACGTCAACATCTCGGGACACTTTCCAGTCTCCTTGAGACAATTCTATTTGTCACTGCCAGGTTTTCAGCGTCTGAGTGGAGCATTTAGTCCAAGTTCACAGTAATTTGCTCAGTCACTTTCTCCACACAAAATCTCTTCGGCAATCGCTAAACCACTAAGTATTAGTCTAAATCACATGGCTCAAAAATGGAATTCTTGAAGTATTTGTTCTTTTCAGATCTTTTCTTGCCAAAAGCAGGATTTTAAATGAATAAAATGTTAGGGCCAACTTTTTAAACAGTGCTTATTTTTTATGTAGACAGAGAAAGGGTATATGCCTTCAGAAGGGTGGTCCAGAAGAGAGAAGAATTTAAAATCTATAGCTATCTTAAAGTTTTAATAATTAAAATTCCACACAGTGTACAAAGAAATAGTGAGAACTATTTCTACAATAACAACATTGTAAAGAAAAACAACTTTGAAAGACATAAGCAATCAGATCATTGAGATGAGCCGCTACAGCTCCGGAGGATAATAATGGAGCACTTCTCCTGACAGAGAGGTGAACATTTCTGGATGTGGTCAATGCATTGTTTTGCTTAGCTTTGCATATTAATTATAAGGGTTTTGTTTTTTCCTTCTTTTTTCAATGAGAGTGGGAAAAAGTTAAGGAAAGAGAGCATACTGGCAATAGTATTGTTATAAAATAAATTAAAAAATAGTAACAGATGAGCAAGACTGCCTTGAAAAATAACATGTTGAATTTTAATATACTTAAAGAAAAAAGCAAACTGTATGTGAGATTAACGGTTTCATATACCACCAGCACTAGTTGATTTATTTTAAATAGGTGGAAATGTGGATAGAAAATGGGACCAGGAGGCAGCCTCAGACACTTACTAGTTATGTGATTCTGGACAAGTCACTTAACCCTTGTTTGCCTCAGTTTCCTCATGTGTAAAACGAGATGGAGAAGGAAATGGCAAACCATTCCAGTATCTTAGCCAAGAAAACCCCAAATGGGGTCACAAAGAGTAGGACACAACTGAAACAATTGAACAACAACAACAAAAATGGGTTAATGGACCTCTAGATTTAAGCTCAATACCTTTAAACCCTAAATATTCTCGTTTTTTTTTTAGACCTTAACAATTTTACACTTACTTAGTCCAAATTCTATTTTTATATCAGTGTAGAAAGTCTATGAGATGAAGATGTTTAATATGGGTTTCAGTAGAGCTACAGACTCAATATCATCCTAAAAATACCTTGGTCTCTCCCAGGGAAAGACACAGGCTGTCGAGGAGAAAGCTATAACCGAATACTTAAAAGACTTACTAGAAGGGGCAGCTAGGTGGTACAGTGGATAGAGTGCCAGCCCCGGAGTCAGGAGGACCTCGGTTCAAATCTGGCCTCAGATACTTGACACTTACCAGTTGTGTGACCCTGGGCAAGTCATTTAACCCCAAATGCCTCATCAAAAAGAAAAAAAAAAAAGACTTACTTGAATCAAGAAATCAAAAATAAGTGGGAAAATTCAATGCAATTAACATTTCAATGTAACCTTTACAATTTTAATGTAACCTTTACAGTACTGTAAAATAGACAATAACAGTTTTGGAAAGTATCCTAACTAAAGCCCATACAATATCAATGAAACATGAGGCCTATCACCCTAAGATAGCTATAAAAAGGAGAAAGAGGATTGATAAACATTCTGAGGGCACATGAGAAAAATGTACAGAAATACTTTCGGAATGGATAAACATCTCTACTCTGAGTAACAGTAAAGGATGATAACAGTACCCAACACTGGATTTGTCCAATGTGATTGAAAGTGTTTTACCACTTGATAGAGCCTATGAAACAACTAAGATCCAAGAACAAAGAAGCACTGAATAAGCAGCTGAGTCATGCACATTTACTTATACAAGTAGAGGAGTTCATGGTTCAGGATAAAGTCATTGACATCAGAAATTACAGAAGGCTTTATCTTGACTGATGCAGATTGTGCAAGTGAATGGTGGGAAGTGTACAACACATCGCTGCAGGTTGCAAAAATTCAGCCGTGAATACCTAGAAACACAAATGGTTAGAATTATCTCTCAGAAGCTCCCCATCCTATATAACAGACAGACAACAGATCCCTGTACAATTCCACAAATACCTTTGGTAATTCAGCAAATAAAGTAGACTAGGACCAAAGCATAATTAGAAATACAACTCTCTCCCACAACCACCAGGATATGCTATTGATCCATGAAAATTTAAGAACAACACTTTTAATAGATGTCACTAAACTGAATATTTATCATCTCCAACCTAAATGGAATAAAAAGCTTCCCAAATACAGAGCCCTAACAGAAGAAATTTAAAACGTTTGTAGTAGGTCAAAATGCAGGGACTTATAGTCTCCACTGAGCTATTCACATTTCTTTTATAGCCCTTTCCAACTCCAAGAGCTCTTCTTAACAATTCCTTCCCCTTGACCTCTAGTGCACAAGCGCACACATGCCATAAATCACTGGAAGTTCTGCAACGTGAGAGTCTTTGACTCTAAATTCATAGTTCTCAGAAGATTCTAGAAAAGGCTAAACAATTCTCTTTAAAAGAGGCTAAAGAAATATCACTAGGGCCATGGCAGGAATTTTGAACTAATGGGCCCCCCCCCAAATAATTATAGGGCACATTAAAATGAAAGTAATTAGAACTGTAGGGTTTGGAGTTCCTAGCTAGACTCTGGGCATCATCAATGGCTCAGTGTCTCCAGTCATCTCAATGAACAATATCACTTTTCAATGAATAATGGACTTAAAGCTTCAGTTTCTATAAAAATAATAATTTTATTAATTTTGAAAATTCTAAATTCTTTATGTAATGGATAGGCTAAGAGCTCATTCTCCCAATTCAAATTTGGACTAACAGGTTAGGACCCCAAAGCATGGCTAACACTTCACCCTTCCCTCAGGATTCTAGGGGAACCCTGAAGAGTTGTGTGTTTCTTTAATAGTGTCATCTTGAGCCCCCATCTGGTGTCTGTTCCCCACAGTATCATTGCCAGTTACCATCTACCCCAGGGGTGGGGAACCTGCAGCCTTGAGGCAACACGTGGCCTTCTAGGTCCTTGGGTGTGGTCTTTTGACTGAGTCCTTTTATTAAGGGAATTTGTTCTGTAAAGTTTGGATTCAGTCTTCACTTGAAGACCTAGAGTGCCACATGTAGCCTTGAGGCCATAGGTTCCCCACCCCTGATCTACCCAATATCATCATCCCTATTTAAAAGATCAGTTGATATATCCTTGATGATCAATTAACATCAATTAGCTTTTTCAAAGGAATATTTACTGAAGAGATATAGCAATAACCAAAGTACAAAAATGTTGTCATCCCTCCCCACCAAAAAAAGCCAGGGCATCCTCTCCCCTCTACACATCAGTCTCCAGGAGAGTGGATCAAGACTTAACAGTGGTTGCTCCCAGGAATTTTTCCCATCAAGTTTACTTCTGGGTGTGGAGTAATCAATGACAAGTTACTCCTCTGCTTGCTTCGCTGCTCGGATGAGCCAAGCAGGTTGCTCCTCAGGGCTAGCCCCTCCATAGGCTCAACAGATACAGGCAGAAAAATACTCTCCCATCACTGGACTTTTGGTGGGTCTTCTGATTTTTTAAAGCTCACAAGATTAAAGCCTGTTCCATTCTGTCTTAGATACTCATTGACCTAATAACAGGAAAGAATAGAAACAATAAGGACAGAAGAGATATAGTTGCCAAGAAAGAAAAAGAGAGACAGAGAGAGAGACAGAAAGAAAGAAAGAAAGAAAGAAAGAGAGAGAGAGAGAGAGAGAGAGAGAGAGGGAGAGAGAGAGAGAGAGAGAGAGAAAGAAAGAAAGAAAGAAAGAAAGAAAGAAAGAAAGAAAGAAAGAAAGAAAGAAAGAAAGAAAGAAAGAAAGAAAGAAAGAAAGAAAGAAAGAAAGGAAGGAAGGAAGAAAGGAAGGAAGGAAGGAGGGAAGGAGGGAGGGAGGGAGGGAGGGAGGGAGGGAGGAAGGAAGGAAGGGAGGAAGGAGGAAGGAAGGAAGGAAGGAAGGAAGGAAGGAAGGAAGGAAGGAAGGAAGGAAGGAGGAAGGAAGGAAGGAAGGAAGGAAGGAAGGAAGGAAGGAAGGAA